GAATATTACAATAAATTTTCTCATTTTCAATTCAGACTTCCTTGTATGTTTAAATATTTTCTAGGTAGATTCCATATTATAAAATGGTTTTGGGAGATAGTGAAACCCATATTGAATTTGTCTCAATATGAACATATGAATTTTTTTTTGTTCAAAGGTATAGAACTCTCTTCATGAGGCACACTGTGTGGTAGTATAGTATCTAGTTGCCTATATAGCACAATACCACCATAATTACAGGATGTCTGGAAAGTCACCTCTATATCCAGGTGACACAGATGTGATCATAATATCTCTACAATAATCAGAACAATGTGAAGTTTTTAGTGCATCATTTAATCTGAGAGTTGGTTATGTGGGGGCATGTAGCATGATCTGCACAGAAAAAAAAATGATGGATGGTAGTTAAGGACACTTCTGTGGAACAGGGACAGTGATCTCACACTTGCCTCACATTTGTGAGCCAGAAGCTTTGCTTCTTTCATTGAAAGTAAATCTCTGCTCAACTTTAACTACTTTGGAAAACCTATAACTATGTGAAAGAATACCTTCTTTTCCACTCTGTGCCCTTTAATTTTATTTAATACTACTTATAGCCATTTAAATTTTATATTTTGTTTTGTTTATTCCAATATATGAATCATCTCTTTCTCTCTGTCTATGAATATGAATTCATAATGATGCCTCACAACTGAAGAATGGATACAGAAATTCTGGTACATTTACACAATGGAATACTGCTCAACAATTAAAAACAAAGAAATCATGAAATTTGCAGGCAAATGGATGGAACTAGAAAAGAACACCTTGAGTGAGGTAATGCAGAAGCAGAAAGACACTCATGGTATATACTCACTTATAAGTGGATATTAGCCATTTGATATAAGACAAACATACTAAAATCTATAGTCATAAAGCAGCTAACCAAAAAAGAGGATCTTAGGGAAGAGATTTAATCTTCATTAAGAAGGGCAAACAGGATAGACAGCAGAAGTAGTAGAAGACTGGGAACAAGACAGGAACCTTCCACAGGGGTAGTCTTTCAGACTACCCAGCAAGGTTTGGAAGCAGATGTTGAGATTCATAGCCAAACTTTGGGCAGAGTGCAGGGAATCTCATGGAAGAAGGGGGAAATAGAAAGACCTGGAGGAGACAAGAGCCCTACAAGGAAACCAAAAGAGTCAAAAAATCTGGGCTGAGGGGGTCCTGCAGAAAATGGTGAATCAAACATTTGACCTCCTGCTCAGATGTAGTCTATGGGCAGCTCAGTCTCCATGTGGGTTCCCTAGTAAGGGCTGGTTCTTTGATCACTCTCCCTGGTGAGGAAGCCTAACTAGCCCACAGAGAAAGATGATGCAGATAGTCTTGATGACACCTGATAGGCTAGGGTCAGGCAGTAGGGTAGGAGAACCTCCTAATCAGTGGACTAGATGAGGAACATAGTGGGGGAAGAGGGAGGGATGCCCAGATGCCTCCATGTCAATGTTCTGGCTTCAGCTGCTCCCTACAATCCCAATTTCAGAATTTTGGATCCTGTGCCCCTCAGATAAGATGGGCCTTCTTTGCTGCTATCACAACCATCTTGGACCCCCCTCTCCTGCTCCTGGCAGCTCAGTGTCCAAGTGGTTTCCCTAGTAAGGAGAACTGGGTCTGTCTCTGACATGAACTCAGTGGCTGGCTCTTTGATCACCATGCCCTGAGGTGGGAATAGCCTTACTCCACCACAGAAAAAGACAATGCAGCCAATCCTGATGAGTCCTGATAGGCTAGGGTCAGAGAGATTAGGAGGAAGTCCACCCCTATCAGCAGATAGGGGGAGGGACAAGGAAGGATAAGAGGTAGAAAGGGTGGGATTGGGAGAGGACAAGGACAGGGCTTCACCTGAGATACAAAATGAGTAAATTGTTCTTAATAAAAAAAAAATAATTTAAAAATAGAGAGTTAACAGATAACTACCATAAAAATAAAATAACAAAAGAAATGAGAACACTGATATTAGGAACATTGATATATGCATCATCACTGTGCTTAGACATATGACAGCTGTTTCTAAACATATTACATACTTGTGTTTCGAGCTTGTATGTATATGTTTGGAATTTTAAATTTTTATATCAACATATTAATAAAATATTAGCATGGTGACTCTAATATTTCAGAAGAATTAATTTGACTTATTTTGTTATACAAAATACTTATAAATTAGTCCATTATGGATTTAACTTTTATCATATATAGAGTGTCTTAACTTTCTTTGCTGAAGTTTCAAAGCTCACCCATACTACTATCATGATTTCTCCATATGGATTGCTATTTTTTATTTTATTTTATTTTAGTCAAAGTAATTGTATCAAGGGTGCAGTACATTAGTGCTAATTTAGCATTTTTTTCCCCTCCAGTTCTGTAGTCTTGCTGCAGAAGAGAGAATTAAAGTAGCAAAAATATCCCAAAGCTCTCCTTAAACTCTCTTGGAGCAAAACATGGAAAATTATAATAGATGATAAAAAGATAATAAGACATAATATTTTAATCAATAAACTCCTCTGTTTAATCCTCCCCTCTGACTTCATAGTCTTGGCAAACTTATAAATTTTCCTGTGTTTAGTTTAAGAAAATACTAACTTTGCTATGAAAATTTTATTATTAGAAAAATTCTTTGGAATATAAGGAATGTCAAAATCACAACCAAATACATCTGGTAATACCTTAGACTAGACATTTGCTGTCATTTCCTTCTAACACTTAACTTATTTTACCCATTCTTTTTCTATTCAGTTTTAGTCACAGATACTCAAAGGATTTTCTTAGTAAATGATAGTGGGCTTGTAGAAGTTTGTATATAGCAGAGTTAAATATGTGTGTCAGGCTTTGTCCATTAAAAATATATAATGAAGATCATCGGAAAATGCTTTGAATTAAAAACATTGACTCCATATTATTCTGAAATTACTTTACTTGTACTAAATTCAGTTTTTAATCTTTAGGTAAAGAAAAAACATATATGCTCCAAAGAAACACTTGAATTCCTTAAAAAAATCTGTATTACAGTGATAGAAAATTGTGATTAAATTTAATTCACATATTCCTTACGCATTTACATTTCCATAAGATCAAGTTCGTCTAAAGTTGTCATTTGCATATGTTGTTTGTCTATATCATTATGTTGATATATTTCATTTTCTTTTGATATTCTGTTTTGAACTGATGGAAAAGAGATAGCATTTTCTAAATATATCAAACAGACTCACAAAATGAGGAAAATACCCTAGTCTTTATCAGGAACAAATTGTCAAGCATCTTGATTTCCAAGGAAGTTAGTATAGTTTTGTTATAGATTATTATGTGATTTTCAACACATCAAAACACGTTCTTTTTCCTACAGCCTTTCTAAAACTTAATTTCAATTAAAATCTAATTATTTTTATGGTTGTGAGCCTAGCTTTCTTTAACTACTGAGAACTACAATTGATCCCACAACCCTGTAAAACCATGTGTTGGTTCTACTAGTTTTGTTTGCATATGAGATTCATTTCATTTTATCCACTCCTCTTATTATTTCCTTTTTGTACTTCTTTGTACTGATCAAGACTTCATATGAAACCTTTAATAGAAACAGTTGAAACTCTAATCTCGCATAAAAATATTCTGTATTTCCCTTTGGAATGTTGCATTAGCTGTGACCCTTTGACCTTTTACTAGACTAAGATATATTTCCTAATTAGTTTCCCTGAAGTTTGTGTAATTAAAATTTTGAACCTTGTCAAATGCATTCTGTGAATCTTTGATATTGCAATGTGATTTCCCCTTTTATTCTTTTAATATAGTGTAGTAAAATAAAAAAAATATTCGATATGCATGAAATCCATGCTACGTATTCTTTTACAATATTACGGATTTGACTTGCTAATATTTTAAGAGTTTCACCATCTAGATTCATGTATAATTTCCTTTATTAGAAACATCTTTGTCAGTTTTTACAAGTGATATGCTGCCAGTTTTTTTCTAAATGTATCATGAAAAATTTGTCTAAAACTGACATTATTTCTGTGTTAAAATTCTTGAGAAAATTAATATTTCTCACTGAATTAAATAATGGAATTGAAATTAAAATTAAAAATGAAGTAAAAAAATCAAATTATGATTTAACCAAATTAATAATATAAAATTTATATTGGAAATAGAAAAAAATGAGCAATGCAATAGCTTTACTTGTATTTGACAATACTAGAAGACAGAATAAACATTTCTTCTATTCAAACTTTACTGGTAAAAACAATTCAGAATGAAATCACATGTCATAAGAATTTTACCCCAAGTTTTGTTTTCTTATATTATTTTAATGCTGTGAAATACATGGCATTTCCTATTTTAAGATTTCATTCGTATGAGGAACTTTTTATTCCTTGCATAACGGACATTTCTATGTTTACAAACTAGCTGTGAAAGTAATGCCACTTTAAATGACTCTCAAATACCAAGGAATTTTATATATTATCACTTGAAACACAGTTTCAAAACTATTACTCTGTCCTCATCAGTAAGCAAGGATATGCTCAACAGTTGGAACTTATATTTATTTTTGTCAAAGTTAAGCCTGTTCAAAAGATCAAAAAGAGTTCTGACTTAATGTACTTAATGCACTGACTTAATGCACTTAATGCACTGTTGGAACATCTAATCTCTTAAAAATATCTGCAGAGGTTAATAATTTAAAAATAAACTTTTTTATGTAAAGAGAATTCTGAATGACTAGGGAACGTAATAGAAATAAACCCACCACAGGAAAAATAACTTCACATTAATTATGAAAACATGCGTGATTACAGTGTTTTTTTTTTTTTTTTCAAAGAGTTAGACGCCGGGGTTTCTTGAAGACCCTGATCGGCTACACACAGACTCAGACATTATTGTAACACTTCCTGTTTAGCATGAAATGAGAGTTTTAGAGAGTAAGTTAATCTAGGCTAAAGCTTTCACTTACATAACCAAAAAACTCCTACCGTGCTCTAGAATCTTCTATATTGTCATCACCCATCATCTCCAAATCTTGTAAGCGCTTTTCACTAGCTTCTTTGAGCAAATTTCCTTCTGGAACGCCTTTGGGAATGTCTTCATTTGCTTGAAGATGTACTATCACATTTTGTTGGTGCCAGTTTTGAAGGACTCTTTGATGGGTAGGGGCTGGTACTGGCACTGGCGTCAGTATGCTGCGGTGGACAGGACTATTGCTTTTCTTCAGTCCGTTTCTGTCCCGTGAGTGTTTCTTCAACCTGCTCTGAACCGGTGTCCCTCTATGCTCATATCCTTCCTGCTGAAGGCAGCTTCCAGGGTTAGGCGATCCCTGAGAAGGATGACTAAACCATCTCCAGCGCAGCCTGAGGATCTGTTTCACATCAAACTCTTTCTTGCCGGACACTGACATTGTTGCTGGAGGAAAGACAAAAGCCTTCTCTAACAGAAAGGAAATGGAGCCTTTGTTATCTCCTGTTTCTCTGCCACTTGTGTATAACAAACAAAAGCACAAGTGCTGGGAGAGAGACACAGAGAGAGAGCCAGAGAGAGAGAGAGAGAGAGAGAGAGAGAAGGGAGAGAGAGAGAGAGAGAGAGCAGTATTTCTTGCTTTCTCTCCCCTCCCCCCTGCCTGAGATATACTGTGAATACTTCCAGTTTAGCTGAAGCAGAAAGCTGCTGCTAACAGTGTAGGTGGGAACCCATACTGACAGGATGATGAGGTCAGAGCTTAAACAAGTAAATCAGCTTAACACAGGAAAGCAGCTACCACAAACACACTCCAGCTGCTAGATTTGCAAACTCACAGCCCTCTCGCCTGAACTCCTAAATATCTAGCCCAGCTTCTTTGAGGACAAAAATGCAAAGCTTCCGCTTAAACCTAAGCAAGTGAGTAAAAACAGTTTAAAGTTACCTCTACCCCTCTCCCCCTACCCACTGTCACACTCACTCCTCTATAGCCCAGTTTTAAAACTGTGTCAGTTTGTCCCAGTAGAATTTGTCGTAGTGGATTTTTTTGAGATTCTTCTTATGGAAAATTTGAATAAGCTCATTAAGGAAAAGCATTTTATCCTCAGTCCCCTTATGGAGATCTGCAGTTATTATATGAAAGGTCTTCGGAAAATGTGTACACTTCTGTATAAACATTCTACTTGAAAACAGAAGTTATAAAAATACTAAAATCATGTTGATTTGCCATGACTGCACCCCCATACCCTTACACACACATACAGACACACACACTCATCCCACTAAGTGCTGTCAGAAGAGTAACTAACTTAATAATATATGAAAAGAAAAAGTGCTTTTCTGAGTCAGATTGAGAGAAATGTTTTCTATTGTTGACCATAGATTGAAAATGAACACATCATTCTGGCCCCTTGCTTATATAAACATCTCTTTATCATACCCTGTACTTTCACAGGCAGCAATAAGGCTTATTTTCTTTGCTCAGAAGTCTTTATAAAATGATACAGCAGGGCATGCTTTAAATTATCTCAATATCAGCACATGGTTAGTAGCATTCAAAATACTTTGACATCTGACTATTTTTATACAAAGGCAAATATTTCTAACACAAACTAACATATATCAATAGCACAATGTTAGCATCATTGTGCAAATTATTTTGAAATATGTCCAGATTTTGTGTCTTATACTTATAATAATAAGGTGGAACTTATCTTGGAATATCTTTAAAATCAATATTGAATTGTAAGATTTTGAGTTTTGACTTTGTAGTTAATGAGTTTCATTACCCTGGAACAGTCACTTCTTTGCATGCCAATTTCTGCAGATGTAACACAGAGAAGCTAATAGATCTCTAATCATCTACAAACACCTACGTAAATGGCTTTAAAAAGAACAAAATTAACTCTTATAAGTCTGAAATTTATCACCAGTTGTGTATAAATCGAATTACATCCTTTTTCCATTTTGCTTTTATAAGTATGATTGTTATTTTATGGCTAACAAACTGGGCTACAGAGTTCCCAGATATTTGAATAGACTTTCATTTGTCTGTTCTGCTTCTGTGAGGGTTACGGTGTAAGTTTAATATTTACATTAACAGAGTGAGAAAGATAGATTGGCATAATTCAATGTGATACACCCAACCAGTTGAATGCACGAATCTTTGTACAGATTTTAACTAATATCGCCTCTTTCTGAGACTCAGGCCTGAAATCGTTCAAGCATGATCTATACTATCAGATCATATGCATCTCCAGCTTCCTTGCTGCATATCTGAGAACTACAGCCTCTATAATCATATAATTTATTCCTTTACCTTTATAACCACTTGTTCTTCTCTCTCACCATGCACCCTATTAGTTATATTCCTAGAGAACCCTGGATAATTCAGAAGGTTTGTCTGATATTCAAAAGTCAGCAAAAACATATTGGTAAGATATAGAGCTCATTTTGTGAGTTATGAGCAATTTATTCTCATCTCCAAATTTCTAATCTATTTTCCCATAGATTCTTTGGTTCTAGTGCTAGCATTCTGTAATCACCTGTCAGTTTTTGGCCAGTAATCATCGTGAAAACTCTGAGTAACAGAATAAAATCCCAAAACAATTCTTTTTGTAACGTCAATGTGCAAAGATGGCTAAATCTGGAATCCTTTCATATTATCTAAGTATGTTAGATTCCAAGTAAACAACTAGGATTTAGGCTATATGTTTTAGACACGATGTATAGAATTCAGTGTTTTACAAAAACAAAGTAAACTGTTTATACCAGACAGAATAAAGATCTCTAATAGATGTGCACATGATGTGTGACAAGAATAAGAAGTACTGAATCCAATCAATGTAGCTTCAAACTAGGCTAAGGTTTGAATGTAGGTTCTCCCACCAGAGGTCATGTGCTGGAAGCTTGTTCTGCTTTGTAGCCATGGGCAGCAATGGTGGGACCTTGAAGTGATGGGAACTATGAAAGTCAAGGGATTAGAAAATCTATTATTAGAAAGAATTAACATACTTGTCATAGGACCAAAAAGTTTACAAGGCAGAAAAACAAAATATGTTAAGGTTAATTCTTGAGTCATTCTTCGAATTCCTGCCACTTTAAGTGATTTTCTTCCCTCTTGAACGTTCTCCTACCACTATGGTGGCAATAACCATAAGATTCTCCAACCTAGAAGCAAATTGCCAAAGGTGTTGTAGTTTGGTACTCAATAAAAACTCACATTAACTTAGTTAAATTAAATTCCAAGATGATATCACATAGAATATAGGAACATATTACGGAGATATTAGAATTCTGAAATATTCTACAGCAGAACTGCCGAAAATTGGTTACTCTAGTCATTTAATTTTAAAAACTATGTACATTATATTTAATCAAGTAATAGAGTATCTTCTTTTTAATTTGTAGTGTGTTTTCTTTACATAAAAAATGTAGAAAATGGACTTTAACAAAACATATATAGTGTGTGTGCACACAAACAAACACTAAGGTGTGTATTGCAGTATTTTTAACATAATCCTTTTCTTCGTAAACTGTTTTCTTTTTTCTTATTGAGTACCTTGAACTCAAAGCAATAAAACCTTGGTTTTGAATTACACTTTCAATTAATAAATCAACAGTTGTATATAAGTCAATGTCTACCTTTTTATCATTATTATTTTTTATGTATTATAATTCTTTTTTTATTTTTTTTGTTTTTTTTTAATAGTTACATTTTATTAACTCTGTATCCAAGCCGTGTCCCGCTCCCTCATTCCCTCCCAATCCCTCCCTCCCTCCCTCATCTCCATCGTGCCCCTTACCAAGTCCACTGATGGGGGGGACCTCCTCCCCATTCATCTGATCCTGTTTTATCAGGTATCTTCAGGACTAGCTGCAAAGCCCTCCTCTGTGGCCTAACAGGACTGCTCCTCCCTTGGGGGGTGGGGAGGCCAAAGAGCCAGTCATTGAGTTCCTGTTGGAAATAGTCCTTGTTCCCCTCACTATGGGAAACCAATGGGTTACTGAGACCTCAGGCTACGTCTGAGCAGAGGTTCTAGGTTATATACATACATGGTCCTTGGTTGAATGTCAGTCTCTGAAAAGACCCTGTGCCCAGATATATTTGGTCCTTGTGGAGCTCCTATCCATTCCCCATCATACTAACTCCCTTTCTTTCATATGATTCCCTGTACTCTGCCGAAGGTTTGGTCATGAGTCTTTGTATCTGCTTTGAAAACACTGCTAGTTAGAGTCTTTCAGATGCTCTCAGTAGACCCTGTCATACATTCAATGCGCATCCCATCTGTCTTTCTAAACGAGGATTGATCATCTTACCCCATGTCCGCTCTCTGATTATCTTTTTTAGGTGTATAGATTTCATTATGTTTGGCATAACTTATAGGTCTATATAAATGAGTATATACCGTGTTTGTCTTTCTCCTCCTGGGATATTTCACTCAGAATGATCTCTTCTAGATCCCACCATTTGCCTGCAAATTTCATGATTTCCTCATTTTGATTGCTGAATAGTATTCCATTGTGTAAAAATACCACAATTTCTGTACCCATTCCTCCGTTGATGGACATCTGGGTTGTCTCCAGGTTCTGGCTATTACAAATAAAGCTGCTACAAACATGGTTGAGCGTATATCCCTTTTGTGTACTTGAGCAAAGTTTGGGTATATACCTAGCAGTGGTATAGCTGGGTCTTGAGAAAGCACTATTCCTAATTGTCTTAGAAAGCACCAGATAGATTTCCAGAGTGGTTGTACCAATTTACATTCCCACCAGCAGTGGAGGAGGGTTCCCCTTTCTCCACAACCTCTCCAGCATGTGTTGTCACTTGAGTTTTTCATCTTGGTCATTCTGATGGGTGTAAGGTGAAATCTCAGGGTCGTTTTGATTTGCGTTTCCCTGATGGCTAATAAGGTTAAGCATTTCTGTAAGTGTTTCTCTACCATTCGATATTCCTCTGTCAAGAATTCTCTGTTTAGCTCAGTTCCCCATTTTTTAATTGGGTTACTTGGTTTGCTGCTTTTCAGCTTCTTTAGTTCTTTGTATATACTGGATATTAGTCCTCTGTCAGATAAAGGGTTAGTGAAGATTCTTTCCCAATCTGTAGGCAGTCGCTTTGTTTTGATGAAGGTGTCCTTTGCTTTACAGAAGCTTTTCAGTTTCATGAAGTCCCATTTATTGATTGTTGCTCTTTGAGCCTGTGCTGTTGGTGTTCTGTTCAGGAAGTTGTCTCCTGTGCCAATGAGTTCTAAGCTGTTCCCCACTTTTTCTTCTAACAGATTTAGAGTATCTGGTTTTATGTTGAGGTCGTTGATCCACTTGGACTTTAGTTTTGTGCAGGGTGATAAATATGGATCTATTTTCATTTTTCTGCATGTAGACATTCAGTTGGACCAGCACCATTTGTTGAAGATGCTGCCTTTTTCCATTGAATGGTTTTGGCTT